AGCAATGCAGGCACCAAGTGCTGTCCACCCTAGTACAGGTAACACATCATTGCACATGCACAGCTACCACTTTGTCCTTCTAATCCCCATCATTTTCCTGACAAGCTGAGTGTACCTTCACCACAGACCTTGGTGGGCACCAAGAAAAGTGGCATTGCACACCCCAAGTATGCTTTATAATATCCCAGCCATAACCAACAGCCAGGGACCTGCCACCCAGGACCATGTACTAGAGGTGATAGGTAGTTCTGAAGAGGATTTGGCTTTTTTGAAAAGCAGGGCCAGGCCCTCCTGACCTGCTTGGTTTTAAAACATGACCCTCCCTGCTTTTCAGATAAAGGGGAGGTCAGTGGGAAATCTGGAAGGAGCTGGGCCAGAAGCAGATGGAATATCAAAGTGTCTTATTTCTTACATAATTAGACTAAGTGAAATTTAATTGCATGCAGGAAAAGAGTTTGCCAGTTTCCTAGCCTGTTTATGCATGACTGATGGCAGGCCACCATTTGTTGTATGCATCTAAAACCTAACACAAATCACAGGAAGTTCACCGAGTCTCTCCAACAAGGCGCAGGCTATTTGTGAAAGCAGAAGTATCACCAGTGCATGGTGGTGCATGCCTGCAATCCCATCTACTCAGAAAGTCAAGGGTCCCCCTGAGGCAAGAGGATGGCAAGCTTGAGGCCTGCCTGGGTCACAGAGCAAACCCCGTATCAAACAAACAAACAAACAAACAAACAAACCACCCAGAGGATCCAAGAATGGAGGGTGGGGGGTTAGGCACCCAGTGTCTGTGCTCAGAGACATGGCCCTCAAGCCATTTAACTCCTTTGCTTGTTGTCTGCATGGGGAGGGTGCTGACAAGCATCTCACCTGCATCTAGAAGAGGCTTTGAGATGCCTTCTTCCCTAACTAAAGCTGCTCCATGCAGGGGACCTGCTGGCTCTACACCATGTACAACAGTTTTCCAGCCTGTTTCTCATTTTCTTCTCTGCGTGTGTGGCGTTTCTGACAACTTCTATTCAAGCCCCATTTCTCCAAACATGCGGATGAAACACACACAAAGCAGAGCAGGTACAAAAACACAGAAGGGCATTGTGTAGAGAGCACTCCACATCAGTGACCCTGATGCAAGGGGGGCTCTACTGATTCCTAGAATAGGTTTTTGAAAAAGGATCTATATCCTGTGTTAAAAGGTCTGGCAGCCATTCACCATTCTGAAGACATGCTTCCCTTGGCACTCAAGCATGGCAGGAATACAATCCTGATAGAAAGATCGTTTCAAAGGAGAAAGGACTCCGGAACCTGCTGTCACCGGAAACCCTGCTGTGGCGATGTGCAGTGTGGGGTTGTCAGAGGCATGTCAAGTATGGTCTTGTGCTTCTGCAGATGACAGCACTTGGCTCAGGTCAACAGCAATGTGAAGAGACAGGTGGTACCCCTGCAGTCTGTCCCACACTCCACTTGGTTGAACAATGGGGTTTTATCTCAGTATTGTAACAGGAAGCTGATGTGTGTTTCCAAAGCTGCCAGCAAACAGGGTGGCACAGGTCATATTTCTACCTTATTTCTTAGGGAGCAGGGTGGGGCAGCTGTGCCAGGTCAAATTCCTGAACTGGACTCTGTTTCTAGTATGGTCTTCATAGGCACCCATTGAAATGTGTCCCAGCTGTGACCTGATTCATCATTCACTGTGGTTTGCTCGCTCTCAGACTCAATGCCACCCATCAAACTGTCCACTCATGCAGGAAAAGGATGCAGCACTCTACTGCCCACCTGAGTTATGTGTGCCAGGCTCAGCCTCAGGCTGGGAACTAAAGGAAGACAGGAATGTCTCTGCAGTGGAAGGTAGGATGGGCAGCCTGAGGCCAGCTGCTGTCAAGAAGGTAAGAAAGTGGAGGTGCCTGCTGGGAATGGCCCCAGAGCAGACAGACAAGAACTGGGGCCCTCTGTGCAGGTGGAAATGGGGAAGCGCAATAGTAGCCCTCCCAGAAATGACTGTAGAACATAGATACAACAAAGGATCATACCCAGAATACACAATGAATTCTCAAAATGCTGTAACAAAAAAATGGGAACCCCGGTTCAATTAATGAGCGAAAAAGCTGAACGACCAACCAAAGAATATAAATGGAGAAGGATGTGAAGTGCTGAGGATGCCAAATGCTGCCGAGTGCTGCGCAGATGGACCCATCTGAGTTGGCGAGAACCCGATGTCACAGATAGTGGACACAGATAGGTAGGTAGGTAGGTTCTCAGAGTTACTCTTCTCATACTCTTAAGCATTTCTGCAAGAGCATGGAAACACAGCCACACATATCCCACAGACAAATGTCCCTCTGGGCTGTATTTGTAATCACCTAGGACTGGAAACACCCAGCTGGGGTCCACAGAACGGAACTGCTCACACAGAGAAGTGCTGTGCTGAGCAGAAGGGACTCGAAACACCAGGCCAAGAGGGCGGGATCTCAACCCTATGTGACAGAACAGCAGGTGACTGCTGCAGGGCACCCAGGTCAATCTCAGCTCCTCTTTGTTATAGAGGTGATGATGGCCAGAGCTCATAGGTCCACAGCTCTAAATAGTGCATTTTAGGGGCATAAACTGTACCGCAATTGAAAGGTGGCTGGAGTACGATCACCTAGGGCAGGGACATCACAGGAGCTGAGGCAGGCAGTGGGCCAAGCATAGGACTTGAGTTGGGGGAGGGTGGATGGTGTTAGGGTCTGAGCAAGAGTCTGACCTGCGCTGACACTAGATACAAAAAAAAAAAAAAAAAGTTATATTTAAAATTCAAATTTATACACTAAAGAAAAGTAATTTTAGGGAAAAATGCTAAAAATGGAATGAAATGCAGGGTTTGTACAGCTAACTGTAATGTAATTCAATTCGAACTTTATGCTGTTGTAGTTGAAACAAAAAAAAATTTTTTTTCTTTTTTGAGACAGGGTTTCACTCTGCAGCTCAGAATGGTCTTGAACTCACTAGCCTAGGTGGGTCTTGAATTCACAGTGACCCTCCTGCCTCAGTTGCACAAGTGCTGGGTTTACAGTGTGTGCTACCATGCTTGGTAAAACAAAAAACTTTGAGCGTTACTACACTCTGTAAGCCGTGGAATGTACGACCAATCAGACTGGTCAGAAACATCACATATTCCAAGCTACTCCTAAATCAGGAAGTGCCAGAAAAGTGCAGTTGCAACCTCTCTCAGGACCTGCAGAGGAGAGGTTCTGTCAGGGAGCATATGTGGTGTATACACAAGTGTGCACACACGGATTCCTCTAGCTTGTTGTTGTTCATCACATCCCAGTGGTAGAATCTTCCAAAAACAGTCATCAACCCCAATGCTCTTTTCCCTGTCTTAAGAGGGATCTGTCAACAACAGCCCAATGCTATGGTCAAGGACAGAAATGTCCCTGCGTCATTCTGTCCCTGCGTCACAAGGCCAGCCTTGTGCCCAACTGACAAGTGGTGGACTTTCTATGGAAATGTGGGGTGAACCCTAGTGAGCAGGTGGGGGATGGCTTTGTATGTCTTGACTTCTACACAGAATTAGTTAGGAAGACAAACAACCATCATCCAAGTGGTGATCAGAGCCCAGCTGAGATCTTTCAAAATACACTAGTGGCAAGATCACACCTGTAATCTGTTACTTGGGAGGCTGAGGCAGGAGGATGCCAGGTTACAGGCCACTGTAGACAACCTAGTAAGACTCTGTCCCAAAATGAAAAAATTAAAATTGCTGGGGATGTACCTCAGTGTAGAACACCTGCATGGCACAGGCCTGGTTTTGATCCTTGGAATCATGAAAAAATAATTCAGAAGTGAGTTTCTAGGCCCCATACTACAAAAGGAACAAGGGTATGGAAGAGAAAAGAGAGAGAAACCCTTCAGAAGACCCCTGTCATGCTGGATGCAGGGCCATGTTGAACAATTTATTCATAAGCAGCCCTTAAGTCTAAGTTCTACATTTTAAAAACAGTGGTGCATTCTGTGACTTTTTGCTAAGTTAGAATAGACCTTGCTGCCAAATAATTTTTGCGCCCTTCCCAAAATGTAATGTTGCGTCTTATGCTAGCTTCAAGGTGTTGTGGGGGGCGTGGGGTGGCAATGCTGCCAGGGGACAGTGGTCTGCAACTCTCAGGCTGAAAAGGGAAGCAGGACCTTTGTGGTCCTAAATGTAGCACTGCCCCCATACAGAACAACTGTGTTACACAGCTTGCAGCACCACTCCTGCTCCCAGATCCACAGGGTATGACAGGGTCAGGCGGCATAGCTTCTCCCTGGGTCTGCTGGGCCTCGGTTGCACTTTGACCCACTTTTCATCCTTCTCAGGGTCAGTGTAGCTTTGCTTAACTTTCAGAGACACTTGGCTGAGAGGGAAGGGGTTTCCAAGGCAGATGACACCAGGGGTGGGGCAGCCCCTAGGCAGAAAAGTATGGCAAGTAGGGGTAGGTGGGTCAGTGCAAATCCACTAAGTACACTACTCAGGCACAAAGACGTGCACACATAGGGGCTGGACAAGGGCAGGACAGGCCCAACAGGAGGAATATGCATGAAAGAACAGACTTCATATTATCTGTGACCTACCAGTCTAGCCTTTCCTTGGTAATAGAATATAGCCTCCCTACCCCACGGTGTACTTGCAAAGCTGCTGGGGACCCAGCTTGATACATCCCAATAAATGCCAGAAGGAATGGGTAGCCATCTCCTAGTGGAGCATGAGGACGCTTCAGAAGGCTGCAGGCCTAAAATAAGCTCATCCAGAAGACAGAGAGGCCAGCAGGGAGCACAGGAGGGGCTCTAGGTGACAGAGGGGCAGAGGCTGGCCCAGGACATGCAGGTGACTTCAATATCGGCTATCATAGGAGATGTAGCCCAACAGGAGCTTCCTCCTCAAATGCCCAAAACATGTAGGACCTCCAGGCTCTGGCTGAGCATAGCTCTGGCTCAGGCACTCTCTCCTCCCTTGGATTCCATCCCGCTCTCTCACCGGTGCTCACCTTGCGGGTAGTGAGGTGGGGGTGGCGAGGCGAAGTCCAGCTTGTCCTTCAGGTCTGCCTCGTTCTCCTCTTGCCACTGCAGCCCTACCTTCTCCCAGAGGCTGGTGGCCAACTGCCTGTGCACAACAAGCAGAGCATGCGTCAGGCTGCACCAAGGCGGAGCTGAGGGCCCTGCTGCATGCAGGAAGCCTGAGGGGCTGGATGGCTATACTGAGGAACAGGGTCCAGTCAGCAGGAATCAGTGGGTGAGAGCAGGGATGCTCTCCTATGCCCAATATTCTGAGGGGTTTCTGACCTCATACTGACACATAGTTGGGTGGGTGATTTCTATCCATGAGTCCAATCAAAACAGTAAAAAGGTGTAACAGATCAGATATGGTAGTGCATACCTGTAATCCCAGCACTTTGAGAGGCTGAGGAAGGGAGATTGCAAATTCAATTGCAAATTCAAGTCTGGGAACCTTAGCCAGTTAGTGAGATCCTGTCTCAAACTAAAAAATAACCCAGGGTTACATTTGGGACCACAAAGGCCTTGGGCTCAATCCCCAGCAATGCCAAAAACAAACAAACAAACACCAATAATAACTTAAAAACCACAAAGACTATCTGTATGTTACAGGATCTCAGACAAAGCATTTGAAGCAAGGAGAATGAAGCACTGTTGTACATGACAATATGAAAAGCAAGTCCCGAAGAATCAGAAAGCAGAGGGGTCCTCTTCTGCCAAGGGAAGGACTCCAAGCACCTGAAGACAAGGTCCTCTCATGCAGAGCTACTCACCTAGTTTCAGGCATCTCGTCATTGAAGCTGCTCAGCAACAAAGGGATGAGCTTGTGAAAGAATGAATAGCGGTCTCGCAGAGCCAGCAGCCAGCCTCCCACCACAGAGGTCACTGCCTGTCGTACCTGCATGCAACAGAAAAGCAGGCTTACAACGGGCAAAGAAATCTCAAGGGCAGATGGGAAATGGCAGCTCTCAGGCACACCATGCAGACACCATCCCCGAAATGCACACAGGCCTTGAACCCTGGGCTCAGGCCAGGCCCTCAGTTCCAGCAGCTGGGAAGTGTTTCAGTACCCGTCTTAGGGAAGGTATTCTAGACTATGGTATTCTAGACTATGGCCTGGCACTCACAGCAAGACCAGAGTCCCTGAAATTTCCACAGGAGAAATTATCATTAACTTCACAAATGACAGGAGGTGAGTCTCAAAGGCTACTGAAGAATGAAGATTCCTCAGAGTTTAGCAGAGCTAAAAGGCATGATGTGATATTCATATTGACAAAACCACTTGAGTTAAGGGTCAGACTTGAAGCTGTGCCAACGCCATGTGCAAGCAATATCAGAAGGCCCATGGATCAAAGGTTGGTGGCAAGAAACCAGACTGCAGCCCTGCTCAGAGTCACACGCAGTGTGAGCAGGCTGAGACTCCCTATGCCTGGGCTGAGCTGCAGCAAGCCCCTCAGCAGAGCTGTTTGGGGTCCCAGACTTGGGATCCTGCTTTGTTTGGCCCCCACAAATAAGGTCTCTTATAGAGTCTTCCCTATGAATGAGGACACCAGGAAGAGTAAGGTTTGGGGAATCTTTTTCTTTTCTTTTTATTTTATTTAAGGAGAAATAGTTGTTCAAGTTACAAAATTAAAGCATATAAAGAGGACATTCAAACAGTGAGACTGCAAACAGTTCTGTTCAATGATCCAACAAAAACTCAGTAATATGGTTATCTATCTTATACAATTAAATATACATGCAGTTATAACCTTTAGAGCACTTTCTTTTCCTCTCTTTTTTTACAATGACAATTACACATTTTGGGTTTTATTACTCCCACAGTTCTTACTACTTTTTTTTAGAAGAGAATAAAACCAAATATGACATAACAAAACAGAGTCAGTCAAATCAAAAGGATGGACATAGTACATAATGTAAAAACAGAATACAGGGGCTGGGGGTTTAGCTCAGCGGCATAAGCACCTGCCTTGAAAGCAGGCAGTCATGAGTTCGATCCCCAGTACCGATAAAAAGGAAAAAGACCAAAAAAAAAAAAAAAAAAACCCAGAATACAAGGTGATCAACAATGGTTACCATAATGCCTCTTGCTATCTTAAAAAGAATTGCCTATATCATCAGTTATGATAAAATTGAACAAAACAGTAAAAAATAAAACCAAAACTTTGGAGACATTACAGGACTTCAAAAGAAGCTAATAGTCAAACCAGAATGGGCATCATAATGAATCTTATTGTCTTCACAGTTGTTGCCTATACTCTCGAACTTGGTAGTATCAAGCTAAACAGAATAGAGGAAAATCAGTCAAAACAAGATGGTGAGAGCAATACAGGGTTTCAAATCAAGTTAATAGGAAATCAAAGTGGGTTGTTATAATATATCCTGCTATTTTTATTTATTTTTTCCCTTAATTAAAAAGATAAAAATTAAAAAATAAATAATAAAAAAGGAGATTGAGATAAAAGAGGACATAACAACAAAACAGCACAGGTCAGAACACAACTATTTAAGCAAAATAGTGTTTTACCACAAGATATCCTTACATAAAAGTAGTTACCATAGTGTCTCTTTCCTTGAAATCTTTGAGTATAACTTTGTATACTGTAGTATCAAACATCAAGACAAAATGTAAAACCATTCAAGAGAATGACAGGATTACACATTATTTAGAACCAACTAACAGAAAATGAACAATGGTTTCTGTATTATCTCCTTGTCTATAAAAGTTTTTGTTTATATTATCACATATAATAAAATCCAGTAAGATACAACATGTTAAGACCAATGGAGACAGAAGAACAAAAGCTTGATGGGACTTCAAAACAAGATGATATTACATCAGCACTAACTATTATGATGTCTTGTTTTATCCAAAATAGCTGTTCATACCATCCAACCTTCTCTGTCTCATTTCTGTTGAGCTCTTTTTCTGTCATTAGTTGTCAGTCTGTCTTCTTCATTTCGCTTTCTGCTCCATTCATTGTGGCCTCTCTGCTACTGTTTCTGGAATCTTGGTATTTTTCTCTTTGAGAATGTCCTGCAGTATTCTCTGTAGAGTTGAATTTGTGGTTGCAAATTCTCCTAGTTCTTCTTTATCCTGGAAGCACCTTGTTTCTCCATTAATTTCTAGGGATAGTTGTGCAGGATATATCAATCTTGGCTGGAGGTTATTGTCTTTCAAAGCTTGAAGTTTTTGCGCCATGTTCTTCGTGATTTGATGATTTGTTCCGAGAAGTTTGCTGCAATTCTGATGGGTGTTCCCTTGTAAGTGATCTGTTTCTTGTCTCTGACAGCTTTTAATATTCTGCTCTTATATTGGATTTCTGGAATTTTGATTATTATATGCCTGGGTGTAGTTCTGTTTGGGTTGTAGGTGGCTGGGGTCCTGTATGCCCCATAGATCTGAGTATCTTTACCTTTTCCCAGATTAGGGAAGTTCTCCTTTATTATTTCTGTGAATAGCCTTTGCAGTTCATGTTTGTATCCCTGGTTCTTCCTTTACATTCTTAAGTTATAGATCCTCTTATCATCTTCTAGCCTTTGTATTGTTACTGCTTGTTTCCTTGTTATTTTTAAGAAGTTTTTCATTTCATGCTCCCACATTACAAATCTGTCCTCCAGTTCAGATAATCTATCCTTAGTTTCTTTCAAGCTGTTATGCCAGCTTTCAATAGAGTTTTTAGTTTCCTGGTAATCTCTTTGAACCTGCTTCACGTATTCTACGTTTTCTCTATTTTCTCCATCAAACAATTCTCCCCTTTTTTTCTGTTCTTCCATTCCACGATCTGTTTTTTCTTGGGAGGTGCTTAGCATTTCTTTAACTATTTTACTTATATCTTGCTTTACTTGGTTAAATACTTCACTTCTGAACTCGTCTATGAGGTCCCAGAGACATCACTTTATGTTTATTGGTGCCGTGCCTGATGTTTTCTCTCCTCATTCTCTTTTGCATTTACCTTTCCTGGATCAGTGTTCTCAGGATTGGGGACTGAGGACCCTTTCTTGTTGCTCCCTCTTCCTGTATTTTTTGTTCCTTCCATACAAGTGTATATAGGAGGCCCAGTTTCTTTCTTTGTCGGTTATAGTTTGTTTGAATCATGTCGGCTAGGTGTTCCTGCCCACTGCAGTGTACTAGGGAGACACAGACCTGGGCAGCCTATACTGGGCCCACCTTTCCAGGTCAGTCAATCGGCTGAAGGCTTCACTGCTTTAGGGTGTACTGCCAGGTGCAGGGACCTGGTTTGGGCTAGCCTACTGGGTCTTAGTCCACGGTGTCACCCAGGTCAAACACTCCCCACCAATCCTGCTTGAGAGGGGAATATGTGACTGAAGTCACTACAGTGTCCTGTTCCGGCTAGTCTGCCTGGTCCCAGAATGTCCTCTGTTGGAGCCTCCTAGTCTATGGAAGGGTCCCTGTTCCTCTCACTCACCACAGGTTGATGCAGGGCTCCCCGCCAGCTCTGCTCTCAATTCAGTTTGCCAATTCCCGCTCTCAGAGCTTTCGTGTCTCTATCCCTGCCGTGCCAATTCAGATGCAGTTTCCAGAGGGACGGGTACCAGCTTCGGCACTGAGACTTTAGCTGTTCCAGTATCCACTGGGATTGCATTTCCAGTGGTTTCTCTTAGCTTAGATTATTCCTGGGTTGGCAGGGTATATCTCCCCCTGCTTAGGACTCCCCACATCCCACCATTCCTGGATCTAAGCTGGCTATCTCAGAGAGCCTCCATAGCTGCTGTTATCTATCTGCCATGTTCTCCTAGAAGTCCCAGGAATCTTTCAACCTCCTGTTCTTCGCTCACAGGATAGCAGTGACCCTGAATGTCCATCTGCCACTTAACAATCTCACTAAGTGAAAATATTATTCCAGGTTATTAAAAAGCAAAATGAGCTCACTGAGAATTATTTACTCACAAGCCACGAGAACGCTAGAGAATACTGCACTGAGCACAATCTATTAAATCAAACAGGTACAATGCATCAAAGGGAAAGGTGTATGCTGTACTACTGTTACTTCCCCTTCAGTATAAATGAGGTAGGAGGCAGGGACAGGTATATGGCTGTGTTCTTCTGGTCACACTCCTTAGAGCAATGGAGGTCAAGAGGGAAGAACTCAAGGAGTGGAACCCCACGTCCTGACCTTGCTCTCATTTTACCAGCCAGGATGCCCAAGCTGTTTCCTCCTTGGTCAGACGAGATCACAGTTGTATTATTCCCAGGAAGGCTGCCAGCTGAAGTCCCTGTAGGCCCTGTCTATGTGCTTCCACGGTCTCAAACTAAGCCTAGCAGGTTGAGGCCCAGAAGCTACTAACTGCTCTTTTATAAGTTTAAGGCAGAGGGTGCATAGGATCCCCATGTAGCCTAGTTGTTCCATAGGCTGGGAGACAGCAAGCTGTGCAAAGAGCAAACTTGTCCTCAAGGACAAGTGTCACAGAGCTGGCATGGCAGCAGGAAGGTGGTACCACACCCTGGCAAGGACAGTATATCCCCACCAGTAAGACCTATGCACAAACAGGTAAAAGGAGTCAGCTACAGTCAGCTTGGGCCTCAAAAACTAAATCTCATCAGAAGAAAATGGAAGTAGTTGCATGGTGGTGAGCAGTTTGGTGGTGGAGAGGGGATACTAAACATAAAAACACAATGAATCATGACTATAGAACATGCTGCTTTTGAAGGCACAAGTGAAGAAGCAACCAACTGATGACATCTTCCTTTCCTGTGGACAAGCAAATCTGTGATGCTAGAGTCAGTGATGTTAACACCCACATCACTGATGAACAGAATTCAAGCCTGCTTCCTATAGACAGCTACTGATGCAGTCAACTATGTGCGCAAGGCTCCAGGTACAGACACACAATTACAGATAGATACAGACAGTTACATTTTTTTACAGGCAACTACTGACATAGTTATACTATTTATAGAGGGTTCTTTATAGATACAGAATTTAGAGAGCTTTTGATATACACTTCTTACACTATTTTGAGGACTGACTTAACTATGACACATGCTGCACTCTGGGCTTAGGGAGGTGATAAATTGTGGCATTGGCAGTGCTGCTAATTCTTGCTGGTTCCTGCTCCTGATTTCTGTTCTGCCCTCAGCAGCTGGGTTCTCAGGCTAATGGTCATACTGACCTAGCACTCTGCGCTGCCCTTTTCCTGCATGTGGTGGGGGCAGAAGGGTGGCTGGGGCCATCCTAAGAGTCAGTTTACCCAGCACCCTGGATGTGGGGGATTATCTGTTCTCGAGGGCTTGTGTATATTAAATGAAGTGGGCAGAGACAGCACACAAGAGAGTAGCTGGAGAGTGCTGGATTTTTATTATGAGAGTGGGGGCCTGCCACCTGGATACCCACTTCTCCCTTAGGGGACTTCTAGCTACTGTGAACTCTGGCCACTGTTCCCACCCCACCTGACCATCTTCTCCCCACTCAACATCACCCCAACCTGACCCCAAGGGCCCTTGCTGGCTTCCTCTCTATTCTTCATCTGTTCCCTCCCTTTGGGACACAGTCTTTGCTGCTGTGCAGTTTTTTGGTTTTTTGTTTTTTTGCTTTTTCCTTTTTTATTGGTACCAGGGATCGAACTCACGACTGCCTGCTTGCAAGGCAGGCGCTTATGCCGCTGAGCTAAATCTCCAGCTCTGCTGCTGTGCAGTTTTAGCAACACAGAGCCTCAAATCTAAGAGGTCTGGCAAGCCAGATTCTGTCCACAATAAAGCCAATGTTCTCACCTCTACCTGTTTGCTCCTGCCTGCCTGCTTGTCTCTCAGGAGATCCAAACCCCAACAGCATGCATTATCCCCACAAAACTCTCTAGGTTACCCTTCAAGCACTGTGGTTTTCCAGTGTAATTTGCCTTGGTGGATGAGCATATAAGATGCTTCTGCAAACAGACGCACACACAGTTTAGATTTTTTTTTTCTCCTTAGAAGAGACAATAATTATAGAAATAACCATTTCCATATTGCCTGGAATACAGAATAAATATACAAATATATTAAAATAATTCAGCTTTTCTAGTTTCTCAAGACATGAAATAGGAACATCTTGTGACTGAGTGAAGAGAGGACACTGGTGTATCTCACACTTAATAGAAAGGCCACCAAGTAGCTAAAGCAGCACATTCACACATTTCTAGTGGAAACAGAACAAACTATCTAGTAGAGAAACGTCTTTACCTGAGTGACGTCGTCAAAGAGTCGCTGAGCAAAGTGGGAAAGCACATCGTCTACGGACTTCCCGTTTCCAAACTGGATCACTGTACCCGTGGCTTCAATGACAGCCACCCGGACTTTCCAGTGCTGGTGGGAGATGGTGTGCATCAGGGGGCTGATCAGGGACTCCGACTGCATATGGAAGTGGTCTGGGGAGAAGGGAGGCACCAGTTACCCCCTTGTGTCTCACACCCCTCAGTTCTGTGACTGTCAGTAACCTGCCATCATCATCTCCCCACTCAACATCACCCCAACTTAACCCTGAGGCCCCTTGCTGGTTTCCCTTCTCTTCTCTCCAGCGGCCCTGGTGGCTTCCTGAGCTCCTTAAATTTGGTATGCTTATCCCAAGACTGGTTCCTTACTGGTCACAGATTTTTAAACTCAATGTTCCTCCTTCAAGGAAGCTTCTGCCACCCCTGAGCGCGGGCAGCAGTACATATCGCTTCAAATCCCAGCCTGAAAGGAGAAAGGGAATATTCCGATAGGTTCAGAACTGCTAGAAAGGTGGGGAAAGAACTCAATGTGTGCAAGAGAGAAGCAGCTTCTCTCCACTACGAACAGAGAGCCAAGCCAGAGGTAGGAGAGCTGAAATATGAAAAACAGAGACAAAGTGGGAGGACTGAGCATTTCTCTGATCACGTCCTGTGACCTCTGCCATTAGAATCATCGTGGGAAGGAGTCCATCAGAACCACCTGCCCCCGAACCAGTTTAAAAAGGATTTCTGCAAGGAATCTAGGAGGATAGCGTGGACGCAGCGGTGTGCTTGCGTGGGTTTCTCATGTGGCGTAAGGGTCAGAGGTCACAGGAAGAGGGGCAACAAGGAATGGGGGGGAGGTCTTGGAGAAGGGGCGGTGCCTCGGGGGCTCACCAGGCGTGGCGCGTGCCAGTGCGGCGGCGCACTCGCAGCTCTCCCGGCGCACAGCAGCAAAGGGGTCGAGCAGCGCGCCCCGCAGCGCACGTACAGCGTCGTCCAGGTGGGGTGCGAGTGCTACGCCGCCCAGGCGCACTGTCAGCCCTAGCAGCTGCACGAGCGCTAGGCGCAGCTCCTCGCAAGCTTCCAGAGGAGGCCGCGCAGGCTCCGGCCGGGCCAAGCGTGCGGTGAGCGCGGGCAGCAGGCGCGGCAGGGCGTCGCAGGGCCGCGCGGCGCGGCGTAGGCCGAGGTCTAGCAGGTGCACGGCCAGCGCGCGGCAGCCCTCGGCCGGGTCGGCCAGGAGGCGTAGCAGGCGCGGCAGCAGCAGGCGAGCCCAAGGGCCTTGAAACGCGGCGGGGTTGGCGCTGGGCCCCGTGGTCTCCTCCAGTACATGCTGTAGGGCCTCCAGCGCCCGCCGCCGTCCCAGCTTGCTGTCAGTTTCCAGCCCTGGCAGTAGACGGCTCAACACACGGCTCAACTCCGCCGCCTGCGCCAACTCCGCGGGGCTTGCGCCCCCCTCCGCCTCCGCCGCCATCTTGCGCGCGTTGCCTGTCACCAAGGGAACCAGCGCTTTTACGACGGCCGCTGCGCAGGTTACGGCAGGACTTCCGGCTGGCGCGGCTTGCCGCAGGGCGTGGGCTTTGGGTGCAGGGAGGGGACCTAAGGGGTGTGATTGGGAACTCAGGGGAGGGACGCGAGACTCATGGGACCTGGTTGTGGGGGCGGGACTAGGTGCGTGGAGAGTGTGTTGGGGACTAAGCGCCGCGGTTGGGGGCTGGGCGCGGGCCTTTGAGGCCGGAGCTACGAGGGCGGGGTTGGGGGTGGTGCTAGATGATCCAGGGCCTTCGGCCCCTGTTCTTGGGGATGGAGTGAGCTGAGCTGTGTGGTGTGCCCGGTGCCCCTTTTCCAGGTGGGAGCCCACTTGCTCCGAAAGGGCGGAAGGTAGCAGTTGCACTGGCCAGGGCTCTCGCTGGCGAGTCCCTGCCTGTGTACCTCTGTACCTCTACCATGGGCGATAGAGGCCTGGTAACTCGCAGTTGGAAATGTAGGGACTCCTGCTTGTTTCCGCAGGTCGGGTCCCACCGTGCTTTAGGTCTCCTGCTGGGTGCCCAGCGTTGGACCTAGCTAGAAGAGATGCACAAGAGCCAAATGGCACCTGTTTGTGGAAATGTCCTTAGTTTTAAGAACTGCACTGTTAAAGCCCGGCGTAGTTGCTCATGCCTATAACCCCCAGCACTTGGGTGGCTGAGGCAGAAAGAGTTTGAGGCCAGCTTGGGCTACAAAGTGAGTTCAAGACCAGCCTGAACTGCACGGTGAAAACCTTTCTCAAAAAGACCGGGGGTGGGGTGGGGTGGGAGTTGCACTTTTTTTTTTCTAATTTGTTGACACTGGTTTTCTAAAGTGCGGCTGATAACAGGTGATTCGTGTGTGCGAGTGTGTGTTTGATACACTGTAGCTCGGCCTGGCCTTGAAGCGATTCTTCTCCAAAAGGCTAGCAAGTGCTGGGGTTACACCCATGTGCTGTGGTTCTCCTCGTGTTTAAAATGTTTTTAAATGTGGCTAAGAAGACTTGGGGAATCGCATTCTTGTTTCTTACAACAGGCACCCGTTTGACCAGGCAGTGTCTGAAGTCCTGACCTGCACACTGGTTTCTCCTCTCGCCCATCTTGCTGCCCAGCTAGAGGAACTGGCTCTTAATGGAAAGATCCCACTAATAACGTGCAGCTATAGTGGTGCCAGGACAATGAGCAGAAAAGAAGGTTGATCTTAGCTTGTAAGGCTGCCCTGAGGAAGTGATTCTAGAGGAGAATGCCAAGGAAAAAGTAATAGTGAACGGGTCAAATGGCTGGGGTAGAGAAAAAGTTACAGATAGAGGGAATTGCCTGCCAGGGCCAAAGCTTGCCTGGTGTCTGTTACTGGATCAAATTGAGTGCCTCAAATTCATGTTAACGTCCTAACCTCAGTACCTCTGAATGTGACCTTGTTTGAAGACAAGTTATTTGCAGAGGTGAAGAGTCAGGTAGACTAAAGTAGGCCCTAATTCGGTGAGACGTCTGTCCTCCAAAGGGAGGTTTGTGAGTGTGAGGATGTCTGTCCACAGCTGCCCAAAGAGAGCAGGAGGAGCCTGCCCTGCTGCCAGCCTGACACCACCCTGACTTGGACTCTAGCATTCAGGACTGTAAAGCACTGGTGTCTGCACTGCAAGCTGCTGCTGACCTGTGGTCCTTTGTTGTGGTGACTGCAGGAGCCTGACACTGTCCCAGGAAATGAAGCAGACCTAAGCCTCCATTCTCCAGTGGTGGGGAGGGGAGTGGCAGGGCAAACTGAAGGTGGGGCTTTGGAGATCAAGTCTGAGTTCTATTTAGGGGACACCTGACTGCTGTTGAGGACCAGATTGGGACCAGCCAGAGAGGATGGTGTGATGCCACAAAATTGTGGTCAATTCCAGTAATACTACAAGGTTAAATGAGCAGGGTAGGACTTCTTTTCCTGTTCTCCCTACCTAGATACACTGAATATTCTCCAAGAAAAGAACAGCCAACAAGGAAAGAACCTATGATGGTTGATTGATTGTGTCAGTTTGAGTAAGAGAAGTTTAACTAAATTGACTCAAGATCCGCACCCCAGGGTGTGGAAGACCCACCCTGTGGCACCTGGATGGTATAAACAAAATTAAGGACAGATCTGCTTCTGTTTCTTCAGAGGAGCTCCTGTCTTCACCTTCATCTTGGATGTCATCTCCTGGCTTGCAGTGCAGACTTGGCTTCTGGTGCAGATCCTCAGGCTTTTGGAGTAGACCCTTCAGTCTTCCATCATAGACTCATCAGCCTCCTGAAAAGGACTTGCATGGGACATTACAGTGAACTCCAGACCTTCAACTGAATCCTTTCGTCACCAGTGTACAGACAGATCCTCTGCACGCTTCTTTGTCAGGCTCTGTAGGTGGCCATTGTAAGCCAATCTTGTAAATTCATGTATATTTGTATTTTGTGTGTTATATCTGTTTCTGTAGCAAGCAGTGATACAGGACCCATGAGACAGAACTAAAACATGCTGGTTAAGGACCCAGAACTGGGGGGCAGTGATACCAGGAGTTCCTGGGTTTTCTTTTTCTCTTCTGTACTGGTATTGCCAAACCAGGGACCAGAGAACCCTGCCACCCAGCACAGCCAGCAAGCAGACAAGAAATTTTCAAGGAGAACTTCCTTTCTGACTGCAAAAGGACTTGCCAGCCTAGGGGGAGCTCCAAACTCACTTTATAATCTGCCCCCAGGACACCCAAAACTAATCCTGCTCCTTAACATATACGAAGTGTCCAGAGCCTGAGACTGTCTAGCCCATTGCTATGGCACAGACAGACTCACATCCAGAAACCCCAGGTATTCAGGGAAACACCTCCAGCCCCACCGGTGACACCAACAGAAATGAACGCCTTCCCTCTTCCCAGTGCCAGAGAATAAAGCAGACCAGGAGGGTGGTGCAAGGGCCCTGCGGACAAACCCACGTTGGAACAACAGGCCACAAAAGTAGGCCAGTATCTATACACTATACTCATTGGGATGGCTAACTGCTAGCATAGAGGAATTAAATAGAATCAGGTATCCAAGATACATTTGAAAATCATTTGTCATACCAAGAACCAGGAAGATCAAGATGTGAAGGATATGAACTGAATGCCAAGGTAACTCAGATGTGTGGAGTTCCTGCCAAGTGCTTTAAAGCATTCATTTAAAAATGCCTTAAAATAGAATGACCCATAAAAAGTAATTATAAACTTTATTTTTGAAACAAGCAAAACATGGGAAGGAATGGAAGTTATAAACAGCCAAATGGAAATTATAGAATTAGAATTTCTTTTTTTATTTTTCAATCTTTATTTTAAAGAATAAAACCAAGCAAAACAGAATAAAGCCAATCAGAACAAACCAGTGAGACACAGGACTTCATTATGAAATCAACTATTGTTACCATAGTGCCTCTTGTCTTCAAGATAGCTGCAGATACCTTCAGACATAGTAAAAATCAAAACAGAACCGATAACGATAAAATAATGAATGCAATAAAGGACTTCAAAACAAGACAATAGTAAATCCAAAGTGGCTACCTGTGGCTTGCTGTCTTTGAAATAGCTGCCCAGGCCATTGGATAAAACAAAAAACAAAATAGAAACCCAAACCAACAAAACTGAAAATGATACAGAACTTCAAAACAATAGGGCTGGAGATTTAATTCAGTGGCATAAGTGCCTGCCTGGCAAGTGCAAGGTTCTGAGTTCAGTCCCCAGTACCAAGAAAAAAAACAAAAAACAAAGAACTTTAAAACAAGGTAATAGGGAATTAACTACTTTCAGAAGGAGATTCCCCATAGATGCCACACTGTATGCTATTATCCTCTGAATAGATATCAGACCATTGGCCCTAGATTTAACAAAATCAGTGAAACATTAAAAACCATGAGCATCAAATTTCTGTGTTTCTCTGGGTCCTGTGTTTCTCTGAATCAGCTGGTCACTCCCTGAGGGGTGCAGGTTAGCTTTTCTTGTTTCCGAGTCTTGTTTCCCAGTGTGTTGGAAGGGGCTGATATCTGGCTGCTTCCCTGGTGGCCTACACATGGTGCTGATTTGCAAGGAAGGCTTACTTCTTGGTAACCTCTTGTTTTCTTACCCTGCAGTCTGTGATTGGCGCTGACTCACAGGAAAAGGCTGGGTTCTGTCTGTCCTCCCGGCGGCCCAAGCATGGAGCTGATTCATAGGAGGGCTTGTTTCTTAGTAACTTTTTGTTCTCTTCTGCAGCCCATGAATCTAGAATTTCTTTCTTTTTTGTTTGGTTTTTGTTGTTGTTGTTGTTTATTTTTTGTTTTGTTTTGAGGCAGTATCTCATGATGTAGTTCAAGCTGGCCTTAAGCTCTCTATAGCCCAGGCTGGCCTTGGATTGACAGCAGTCCTCTTGCTTCAGCCTCCCAAGTGCTGTTATGAGGCTTGTCCTAGAATTTGAAAAAATACAACACTCAAGATAAAATTGTTCATCACTGGAGTAGAGTGGAGTTGATACAGCAATAGAATTTACTCTGAACCACAGAGAGAAAGGAGAGTAGGAGGAAAATAAACTGAGCCTTAAAGGTCTGTAGGATAGCAAGTCATAAATCAGCATCCCAGAACAAGAAAACAGTGTGTGGGACTAAAATATATTTATAGAGAAGTATTGGCTAAAGGCTTTCAAATCGGGCAAAAGACATTAATACACAAGTTCAAGAAGCTGAGCCAGCCCTTAAAGGATAAGCTCTCCAAAGCTCCACACCTGGACATATGTTAGATTTGAAAACTAAAAAGAAAAAGTTACCAGCTGGTGTAAAACAATGTCTATAGAGGAACAGTCCTTTGATCGACAGTAACTGTCTAATCCAGAGCTATGCAGGCCAGAAAGGAGGGGGCCTACATTCAAGTGTGCAAAATGTCACCTGTGAATTCGCCAACGGAATGTTCTTCAGGGGTGGAGGAAGAATAAAAGATGTTTTCTGAAAAAGCCAAATCAGCAGGACTTGTTGCTGGTAGACCTACCTGTGAGGAATACCT